CCCCCCCCCCCTCGTATGTAATTGTATTGATTCAGCAAAGAAAAAAAACGAAGCGCCAAAATAATTCATGGCCACGAGATACGATGCAGGGTCATTTCAGAGTATTGCATCACTTGAAGGTGGTGCTATCGAGGTAATGAAACAAATAGGCTAAGTTCAATTGGTGCAAAACTCCTAAATAACCCTGTATATGCAATTACATTATTGGATACCAACGAATCCATGAAGTTGTAACAACTAAATATGACGCAGGTAATAGACAAAGAATACGCGATTGCTATACATATACAAGGTGGCCATTAAGTCTACATACATATTTCGATGAATCAAAATAAATGCTTTAACAATTTATTATACCCTAAGCATAATACTATCGACATTTTACTTGAATACAATTGAAAGTGGTTTACCTACTTCCCGTTTTAAAAAACTGATGACAAAAAAGGGGTCCGCTGTTAAACGGGCAATTTTGGTGCTACTCTCATAACTAGTTGCAGCAAATTAATACGATTTCTTATTGTTAAATCTAAAATATTATTCTGAGATGCGACCAAAAGTTTAAAATATTGTAGCTTAGCAACACCTTGTGATTTCTATAGAATATACAAAACTATTCTATTATTTCTTCTCGCACCTAAACCAATTTGTGACTATATGTGCACCCCATATTATGAGTAACAAATGGAAAAATTAAAATTAAAACTAAAAGGTTACAAGTCAAAAGAAAAAGACAATTACAAGCAGAATGAAAAATAAAAAACGAAAGACAGTTTTATTAGAGGACCCCGGACCCAACTCCAGGGTGGCAGGAAAAATTTGAGAGAAAAAGATTTTATGATGAATCGAGGAGAAGAGTTTTCGAGCAGCGAGGCATTATTTCAAGCCCGCATTTAGTTACAAGTTGTACATGAATTAGACGAATTTTTACCAGAACTTGATAGATATATGTTCGCCGTTTTTCAGATATGTAAAATATCACCAGCGCCCAACTGGCCGACAACGTTAATGCTGCTATAGTTGTTTGCATTCATCTCATATGCCAAAATCATACTCTTCTGTAACAAACTCATGGTCGCAACGACAATGGTATTCTAACGGAAAATCGCTCCTTAAGAATCGTTATACCTTTCGTCAATTTTTATCATATATCCTTTCGTAAATAATTTACCGATAGTCGAGGTTCAAGTTCTGGTGAAATAGAAAAACCTGTACATTTTTTCATGGCAACGATCGTACGGGACTCACGGGCGTGTCTTATGAAACTGTCATCGCAAAGAAAGTGCGCACGCGCGGGTACGTGCACATTCGCGACTATAAAAAATTAAGACACGCATGTAAGTGGACGGTAACATTTGAAGACAATCGACGCTTTCGATTTATTTTACAAAACGAACGGAATCATCATTTTTTGCGCGGGCAAAGGAATAAGATGCGTTCGCGTCGTTCATGCATTCGTGCCTCGAGATAAACATTTCGGCTCCAATATTTTAATGTTATTTGGTAGGTAAGTAGTAACTTTCGAAAGACTATTTACTATGAGCTAGGTAGTCAACCAACAACAGTGCGATACAAGAGAATATTAACAGTTAAAGTGTCTCTTGACATATTACTGACACGATTACCCATAAGCCATTCTAGAGCTATAAAAGATGTGGCCAGGTGTAGCTAGTGTGTATGCATGTTAAGTCAATTACGTCAGGTGTCTTATCAATTGATTGTATAAATGTTTAGCACGATGCTAGTGCCTATTTCAATTTGATTCGCACTCGACGCAAACTAACTTTCCTGCTTAATTGGCCGAATAGACTTTTGTAATTGTAATATACTTTCTTTCGTGTGTACCAGTTAAACGGAATTGTATACAGAAACGCGTGTCATCCTCTCACCTTCTCTCTCTCTCTCTCTCTCTCTCTCTCTCTCTCTCTCTCTCTCTCTCTCTCTCTCTCTTTTTCTGTCTATGGTCTCCCAGAACTACCTTTACACCGAAAAATGGCCGATAGCTGGAGGTCCCCCGCGTACCCACCCGCAAATCGTTTGTCCAAATTCGCAATAGTTTTTAAATGGAAAGCATTTAGGGTGCACCAATCAGAACGAAAAAATTGCGCGGGTCGTGGCTGCGTGGTGGAAGGTACAGTCGTGTAAGGCAAAAGTTAGCTGCTTCAAACGAATCTTGCGCTTAAGAATCGTTTAACGGTCCAAACGCTATGTATACAATGTATACATACATTCTTCGTTCAGAGACTGCCGATATTGGTGGGATGCAACATTGTAAGAACGAATACCGTTTTCCTGGCAGTTCTTTATTATTAGTTCGCGTCACACTTACGGTTCTTCGTCGGTTCTTCTCATGAACGTTGTGCGTACGGATGGACTATTTGTTAAGGGAACGTTGACACCTGAGTATTTTATTTGCGATTTTCGAGTTTTAGATCAGAGACGCGCGCGCGCGTGTGTATGTGTGCATGTGCGTGTGTGCGTGCGAGCACGCGTGTTAATAAACATAATATAAATATACCTACATAGTTAGAACGAGGGATAGACACTATGAATAACTACGCATGTATTACGAATTACGAATTACGGTAAAAAGAACGATACTCATAGAGAGAAAAGAGAACTTGACGTAAAAGATAGTTGATAGTTGGATGTTGAAATTTAAGCTTACCGGTGCAACCCCCACTAGGGCTGACGGACACTCGTCCCAACCTCGGACCAACTGCACGGTACACGACCGCTCCTACTCAACACAGACACAATACAGATCTTACAGCATATTCCTTTCTCGATATGTATAATAACAGATCTAGTTATACCTAGGTGCATTTTGCATTTAATGTGCCATAAACAAACACTCCTTTTTTCTCCGTTTGAACAAGTTGACGATGTACGCAGCAGGAGCATAATATTGCACGAATGCTACTATACTTAAGCAATCGAATTGCGTTTCGCCATTGAGAGACGCACCCAGCTCATAGTAATTTAGAGCACCTGCATGCATAGAGACATGTGCGATACCATGAATTTTCTATGCTCTCATAAAAGGAGCGAGCTGATCGAACCGAAAAGCTCTCCGTTGGCGATTATTTAAAAGTGTCCACCGCTCTCCCGCTCTCCCCCTCTTCCATCACAAACCCGAGAAATGCTCTTCGTAATCTTATCAATCCGTTAAGTTTTCTTCTTTTTTTTTTCGTAATTTCCTTTATTTATTACAGACATTCATTATTTATAATCCTTATAACGTAGATGTATTAGATTCAACGAATTACACTATACGATGAAATAATGTAGTGTGTAACATACTGTCTTTCATTGCGTTATCTCCGAAGAGCGGCGAGTGTCAATTAATGATTAATGAAACTCGCAACTGCGGCTTATCTCATGAATCTGTTAAGAAAAAATTGTGGCTTTTAGGTTTTTATAAAAAAATTACATTACACCGTTAGCACCGGATCTGACGGAATTAATCTGACAATCGATTTAATAGATCCGTCACAGACTTGCGCAATTGTTGCGTATTTTTTAAATATTTTTGCATTTTGCATCCGAAAAGAATGGGCTCGTGTGTTTTCGACCGTTCGTTGTATGTTTTGATCTACATATGAATAACAGGTAACGACCTCCATAGGTGTACACTGATAGACGTGGACTGATTCAACAGTTGGTGGCCGGAATTGTATGTGTACGCAAGCGTGATTTCCGCAAAGGGGAGTAAAGTTCGATACCTAGAGACAATATCCAATGATGCGATGACGCGGATGACGCAATGACGCAATGACGCAATGACGCAATGACGCAATGACGCAATGACGCAATGACGCGATTATACGATACGTGCACTGGACGACGTACTGGACGTGTGTACTTGCGTATGTCGCGATAAGTCGCCCGATTGGCGGCTCTTATATCAGACAGGGCAAGCCATTATTTTCCTTCTCCCTCGGTCCGCAATGAATATCGGACTCGAATATTCAGCGCTTACGCGATCACAGTTATATAATATTATAACAATCTTACGAGTAGCAACAATGCACCTACAGCTCGGCAGTGTTAACTTCCCCCGACGTGAGCTTTTCGAAAGTGGTCAAACCAACTTGCGTCGCGGCTAGCTACATCCACTATCTCTTTTTTCTTCCTACTCAAATTCCACTGGAACGATGAGCACAGCCAGTCGTCAGATATTCGCAAGAGCGCGCAAATAATTAACATCGGACCCATATCGACGAGGCTACTGCGATCACTACAGAGGAGCTAGGGAAATTAACACGAACGAACTATAGATTTCCATAAAAACGTTACAATATCATTAAGCATATTGTGTAATAACAAATGTAAGCTCAAGGCAAGCACTTCTCGTTTTTCAATACGATTAGTGTTCGTGTAAATAAGCAAAAATGATTTTCCATCGTGACATGTTCTTATGTTACATTAGGTCAGATCAAATTCGTCTGACAATGAGTAATACATGTTCGCGCTCCAAGTGTCTATCGTCTGCGTGACTCTGATTCACCCGTCTCTACCTTCGTGAGAAACGCATTTCATTTACAGGTACAGTCGCACAAATAAAACTTGTTAAGATTACGGCACTCTTTGCATACCGTTTGCCATAGATAATTTATGGAATCGTCCCGGACGCGGATGTAGAAAAGAACAACGGACGAAAGCAGAGACGATGATCGGCTTGGATGAATCCTTGGCATCTACCCACGAACGAGAGAAGAGGAGACGTAGGCGAGAAGGTGTGGAGGGTGCCGAAGGAAAAATACAGAGAAGCAAATGAAAATGGAGGATAATGGACGAGAGAACGGATCTGAGACCAAATTTGAGGGAACTCTTTTATTCATTTATTTTTTCAGCGAAACTTTTTTTTTCAACAAAAACATCGGTAAATATAAAAAGAAGGAATAACTCAAGAGCGAGGAAACGCAAGAGAGAAAAATCGAGGAGAGAGGAGTCTTCATGAGTTTAACGGCTGGCATGATGTGATGAGTATGGAGAGAGCGGAGGGGGAGGGGGAGAGAGAGAGAGAGAGAGAGAGAGAGGCGGAGGGGCAAAGGACTGTCGATGGGACCTCTCCGGGTGTGAGATACCGGTGACGGTCGAATCTTACGTGTTATAGTCTACGATTAGGTTAGGTTTATTACTGCCTGTAGATACAAGAGGTCATAAGAGAGGAGGTAAAGCGAGACGGTCGGTAGCCTTTCTTTTCTCTCTTATGGTGCATCCGACGACTTATGGGGATCTCTGGATACATTCTGGCATTACTATAATTACCTAGGTACATCCATCCTGCTACTTTTACATCGATCTGCTAGTAATCTTCCGTCGCGGAGATATTTATTAGACGTACGACATGAGATATGTTTTAACTGATAGAGCTCGATCACGTTCAATATATCTGTAATGCTTTCGGCTTTCGGCTACCGACAGTGACGCCTCTTACCTCTCGAAATGTGATCTAATAATAGTAACAATATATCTAAGAACTAAGCTAAAACTCTCGATTAACGGTGTGTTACAGTACTTAATATTACATAGAACGCACTACGTACTTGAGTTACTATGAACGCCTGTACGCCAAATGTTATTATTTCAGAGATTAGTCCATTCTATTCTACTACTTATTTGATTATTCCAATTGATTCCTCATTGTCTTAATGTTCTCGTTCATCCGTTTCGCATATCCGTCAGTCGGTATTTACTGTCTTTGTCCACCTGCCTGTTCCATATTTTTCTGTGCTCGATCGTTAACGTTTTCTGCTGGTGCTCGCACGAGCGTGCAAAACCAGTAGCCAAACACGGTAGCCATTGTCTCCGACAATGTGCCAGGATACCGATACACAGAGCGCTCCATCATCGCGCGTCTCTCGTGAGACAATTATTATTTCGTAAAGCATGGAAACCATTGGAAGCCATCGGAGTGCGTTTCACGCGTGAATACGCGTACTCGCAAACTTTCCATGTGTGCCACACTCTTTGTTTGATAAAAAGAGGAGGTGGTAGCATTGGAAGAGGATTTCAATGGGTGGAATTTAAAAATCTTAGCGATGTCAACATGAGCTGTTAATGAGCAAATCGAAGTCGAGGACAAAGCGATATAGAAGTATAGGAAATATAGGAAATATAGGAAGGATGATGACAGAAATCCGTACAATGGAAGCGGACACTAGAAACGCTGAGAGTTTAAAGTCTCTCGCTGACCATCATACATTCGGACGTACGTGGCCACTTTAAGATGGATACCGCTCTTCGTAATACAGATACTGACAGTTACTGACAGCGCAAACGATGCGTACTCTGCGTAATGCTAGTTGCTGCGCTTTAGACTTTTCTTTGTGGATTTCACAGAGCTTTGTATCGAGGGTTCTCTTCCCGTGAAAATTCCTTTTCTACATTTTCTGTACCTAATGGAATGGGGGTAGAGGCAGACGACGTTTCGCTTGACGTAGGACCACAGAGTTTGCCAGCCATGCGTCTGTGAACATTTTTTTTTTTCATTTTTTTTTTTCGATCATGTATTCGTACAGCCGCCGACTACTTACAGAAGAGACAAACAAACATTTAGTATCTACCGTTTAAGGTGTATCGCTCATACCTAAAAATACGGGTTATTTGCGAGCGGATGTAAATGCGGGATGCCGATCCATTGAATTTTTGCTACAACTTGGAAACACGCAAAGGATCGATCGTCATTGGAGACGAACCGAAAATTAAGAGCAAACGCGACTGCATGTTGATGTTTCAACAAGATTGGTATTAATCGGAAGATTGAAAGGGGAAAATATAGAAGGAAAAAGAAAAGAAAAGCAGGAGTTAAGGTAAAGACGGTGGAAAGAGAAAACAAGGAAAGAGGAACCGTGGAACGTGCTGGTTGTTCTTTTCATTGTTTGCTTCGTTGTCACCAAGTCATCCGTAAAAGTCACCTAAATAAAAATCCTGGAGTAACGATATCCAATGAAATCAAATAACCATCCAAAGTAGTCAATGGAAAAACTTGACATTACTTTATAATGTACGGTCAGATCTTGCCGATCGTGCGGGCAATACCAAAACTGACCAACATCGAAGGAACGTTCAGGGTGTTTTGAATTCTCAGGTGGCAGCACTCAACTAGAGAACATGGCGCTCTTTTGCTTTGTGCACCTAACGATCTTCAAGCGAATCGCGTGCTGACCTTAACGCCTAATTTATCTGTATAAACCCTAAACAGTATCACGTTTTCACGATTATATTTGTTTTATTTGCTACTCGAATTGTCCCACCAGTTTTTTCTACGACATCCTGCGTTCAGTTAATAAGGAATTATGCAGCAAGGTAATCACTATGATCAATATTCGTACGAAACGCCTCAAACGACAATCCAATATATTCTGTTCATTCGTCCCAATTTTTCCTTCTCGAATTAATACGTAAATGAAACCGAACGACACATACTTACGTTACTTTCTACTTTCTTCCTTTCGTTACCATCCTCATTTTCCTCCAAATTATCAGATACCTATATGCCTCTTATGTCTGATTTCTACGAATTTATTATTTTCAATTTCGATTTCGCTCTCTCGATCCCTCGTGGGATCTTGTTTTCGTTCTTATTTTCATTCTCATCATCAGTCTATTTTGATTATAGTCATATAGATTAATTCTGTATCTTTGAAAATGCAGCCTGGCATAGAAGATAAGGATAATCCCTGCTCCTGAGACAACGTAGAGAAATGCTTTCGACAATTTGCACGACCAAACCTGCGCTACAAGATGTGTAAATAAATAAGTTCGATAGAATGGTCGTCTGGATTTCGAAGTAATCGATAAATAAGAATAGCGAGGACAGATCGCGCAAAGGAACGCGTTGTTGGCGTTCCCTGCCAACGGCCATGCCTCTTGAACTATTTTACTAATATAACTATTCTTCTATTTCAATAAGTAATTGCAGTATCTGTATACATCAATACGAAAGCAAGAGAGGATTACGAGAGAGAGAGAGAGAGAGAGAGAGAGAGAGAGAGAGAGAGAGAGAGAGAGAGAGAGAGAGAGAGAGAGAGAGAGGGACAAAAATGATGTAATCTTTAATGAATGCGAAATATTGACAGTCTCTTGGTTGCTGTCTTTAATATAATTGGAATAAATAGACTGATTATGAATTGGAAACTAAGGAGAAAATGGGAGGATGATTAACAATTATTGGAGACGGTGATACACCCAACGTGGAAAAAGAAGGTATCTGCCTCTGAAACTTGGAGTTCCGTTGACGTGATCGAAATGACAATTTTAGAGTATCCTTTTTTTTTTATCTTTTCTCCTTTATTCCGATCGCAAATTTTCTCAATTACGAAGACAATGTGAAAGACATGTGAAATTGGTCGTTTATTTCGAGTAGCAGTCCATCTGACTTCAAAGACACTGTCAATACTGTCCCGGTCTTATTGGGATATTTATGATTAAAACGCAAGAACAGAGAGAAGTCTGTCTATAGGATAGACTTTATAGAGAAACTGCGAAATAGCGTGAAAGAGAGTAACCGAATAAGGGAGGAAGGGAGGAAGGGAGATGAGGCATTTACGATGATGACGATGAAACAGTTCAATAAAGTAAGGAGAACGACGCCGGAGGAGGGGGAAAGAGGGAGAGGGGGAGGGGAGGGGGA